AAATATAAAATTTAATTATTAATTTGATAAATATAAATATTAAGATTATATTATTTTAAATCTAATTTTTTAGATATAATTATAAGATTTGGCTAATAAAATAATCGTATATATATATATATCTTTGCATGTATCTCTTTTTAAATATAAGATCTTAATTATATAAAAAAATACAGTCTCGAGATATGCTTTAGATGATATGCACTAGATGAAATCTTAATCCTCCGCCGGCAATGTTCGAATTTAAAAAGCATTTTTTGAACAGCTATCTCGTCGGAGTTCAACTGTCGTGGGCTGTATAAATATGCAAGGATAAAACGACGCGTTAACAGTGCAACTTAAAATGTAAGCAGTGCGAAAGCATCCATAATGGTTGCGTTCAGTAGAAAAAGTAATAATTTTGTAACTGTTATAAAATTCTTTGTGATTGACTCTATCCTTAGTTCCTTATTGGATTTAAATGTATAAATCATTTATATGGAATGAGTGTTCCGTCTGTAACTCTATGATCTGTTTTGCTGATTTTAAATGTAATAATTGATATATACAGAGTGTAACTGAATAACGTCCACTAATCATATAATGCTAATAATAAAAAAACTGAAACGAAAAGTTCTCTACCATTTTGCAATTTTCGCAATATTTTTTTAGTTACCTAATGAGCAATATGTATAAAAAATTGTGTGTATAAGACATCTTTAAGATATCTTTAAGAATTCTTTAAGAAAAATCTTCAAAATATTCATTTCACAAAGAACACGAAAAAATATCTTAAAATTGTCTTATACATCGATTTTATCCATTTATCCGGTAATATTTGGAAATTAATATCTCGTAACTGCGAAAATTGCAAAATGATAGAGGACTTTCCAACTTAGTTTTTTATTAGGAATAGCACTGTATGATTAGTGGGCGTTATTTCAGTTACACCCTGTATAACAATGATCTAGTTTACATCGAGCATTTAATATGCATATTAACTAGTAACTTTTTATTAAATTGTCTTAATTTCAGTAATGTATTTAAAGAATAATGTATTAAATTAGTACAGTATGCATTAAAATTTAATTAAATACAAATATCATGTATATACATATATGTTTACACACATCGTTGAAATTAAGATAATTCAATAGAAAGTTACTGTGGTTGATATCGTATCACAAGTGCACGATATAAACTAGGCTAATTATTTTTTTTTCTTTTACAAAGTCGAAAATCTTTTTCCAAGATTAAATAAGGGTACATTACATTAATATGTGAGGTGGAATTATACCAAGAACGAAAAAAATTGTTTAAATTTAAATCTTTATCATTTCTTAACCCAAAATCAAAGTTAATATTTATTTGATATAAAAATTTTTTAATCTGTACTTACAAAATTGTGATCTATAGACTATAAGTAATTTACATGAACGCGACCAATATGGAGTTTTTGGAATTAGACTTACGTCTGTTTATACCAATATAATTTAATTTTAATTTCAATTCGACTATATAACTCTTTATCTTTTTCTAATTTTAAAAAGATGAAAAGTAATTAGTTAAAACGAGATTAAAGTTAATCTACATTGATGTAAAAAAATAAGAATTAGACATTTAATTAAAACACTGTTATTTTGTGGAAATTTATGTACTTATATGTGTGTGAGATAGATTGCTATAATATATATATATAAAGATACGTCGCATTGAATCGTGACGTCAGAAGAAATGACACGTTAATTTTTGTTACGTGCCATTTGTAAATAAAGATTACAACAATTTGAATAAAACAAAATGATGAGATCGCTTTAAAACATTTGTAAAAATGAACGGAAACTGTTATGATTATCTGATAGTCGGTAATAATAATAAAAAAAGTGATAAAAGACACGTGTAAGATAAAATAGATTCAATGCGCATGCGCATTGAATAAAAGCATTTTATGTGCCTTTTATAACTTTATGATTATTTACTAACTGTCAAGAGGAATAAGAATAGCTTTAAGAATCCATTTTTACAATTATTTTCAAGCGATCTCATCATTTTGTTTTATCCAAATTGTTTATCTTTATTTATAAATGGCAAATAATAAAAATTAACACGTCGTTTCTCGCTTCTGATACATGACGTAACAATTCAATATAGCTGTAACTATAAAGGACTCCGCACAATAAGAGGAACAGAGAATAAAAATTTCAACCTATTAGAAATCATGTATTGCGGAATATACAGTTTCTGATAGGTTGAAATTCTTATTCTCTATTCTCTGTTCCTTTTATTGTGCGGAGCCCCTAACTCAGAAGTAGTGTTCCTATAATAAGAATTAGGACAATGTAGTCTTTTGATTGATTGCCGGAATCCGCTATATGTAATAGTCAACCGCTAATTTCAAATGAATTGCAAGAGCCAACACAACCGCGAATTACAAGCAAATTGCAGAAAATCATGTATTTGATGTTATCCTTCATATTTTCGTCATTATCTAGCGCTGGCAGTATAACATTTACACGAGATTTGTTAAAGAATATTATTTCTAATGATATAAGCTTATTTAATTGAATCGCTGACGAGATACTATTAAAGACTCAACCCTGGGCCAATTTTTGGCGGTATAAAAAGGATCCGAAGGTAATTGAAGAACACTGACATTATCGACAATTGATATAAATTTGTTATCATTAATATAAATATTTGGCTAATACATTATGAAATTTATGATTTTTTTATTACATAAATGCTTCATAAATAAATATGCATACTTGTAAAGTATGTAGCATCCAATATATTGTCGAAAAATTACAATTTTTTCTCTGCAGTTATTATCTCTGTTGATAATCAAACTTTAATGATAACAAAATTTTAAAGAAAAATCATTATTGAGTTCTAAATGCATAAATACGTCTACTAAACTAATAAATTATAAAATTAACAATATTATCAGTTTTTAACTTTTTATTCACTTCAATATTCACAAGGATGCGAACTCTCGTAAGAATGTCGGTCTTTAATAATATCTCATCGGTAATTGAACTCGGTACTACATGTTTGACGTATCTATAATATCTGTAGTATTTGGTTATTAATGGCGATTTGTCCTAATTTTTATATAGGAACATATATAGGGACACTTAGGAACCTTAATTGTTAGGATATATCCACACAAACTTGCATAGCTGCATAACCATACACATAAAGAAAATTATCCAAATTATCCACATTTCTGTCATAAAGACAAACGTAAAATACGATTGGATGATTTTTTTGCAAGTTGTGTGGAATGCCCTTACGTATAAATATAAGACCAATTATATGGCCGGTTTATTGGTTAATGGAATATTTAATTTATTTAAAACTAAACTTAAAAAACCATTTCGAATATAAGATTGGACTATAAATTTCACTTTTGATCGTCAGCAACACACTCTGTCTTTCCTTTCACACCTGGCACACACGGAGATTGGTCAAGTTTCCGGCGTACAATTCGAACCACGTAACACGTGATTATGTTATATTCGTCATATTTTATCTGAAATCAAAACACAGGACATATGTATGATTGAAAATGGATTGAAAAAGGGGAAAGATGCGAGGAATT